TGTGGATTTTTGTCTTTCCTATAATTTTCCTCTATATCAGTAGTTGTCTCACATGAGGTGGGTCACCTTATTAAAAAAAACCCCGCAAATGTTTTATAACCCCCCCAGGTCTTTTACCGACCTGGCAAAGCAGCACGGTTCTTTTCTCCAAGATATGATTTTAAAGAAGGAAAAGTTGTCAGGAAAAGATAAGCATTTGCTGAAAATCATAACATTCATTAGCTAGTCAATTTCTAATCATTCATAGAACTTCTTTTACTCAATAGTTTAGAATGGATATAAAAGAGATTTTTTTTTTTATCTGTAAATGTAAAAGAGTTGGTTTGAATGAGCAGAAGCACGCCAAACACTACTGTTTAGTTTCTAGCTTTTTGTCAGTAATCTAAAAGACGAGTCTAGGTGCAATGCACGGCGAAAACGCCAAGTCCAGTGGTTTGACTCCTTATTTAATGGTCAACGGAAATCGTTGACCGCTAATGCGTGCCTAAGCACGATTATGCGTGCTTAGGTTTTTTTTTTTATTTTTTTATTTTTTTTACAATTCTCTTAAATTAAAACTTAAATATTGATTTACTTTTGAAACTCATCTTTTTGTCGGAAAATTTTGAAATTTTTTTATAAAATTTCTATAAATCTGTTTTAAATGTTTGATAAGTATTATTTTTAATTGATTAAAAATTAAAATAAGAAAACGCATTTTTACACATATGCCTCGTCGAAACTCACCTAGCCCATAATTTGGTCTCTTTACGCATTACTTCTTTTAGGACACTGTTTTCTGCAGTTCATATAACATCACATTCAATAAAAAGAAAATATTAAAATATAGTGAAAGAACAAAGCATTGCAGATTAAACTGTTTTCTTAAATTTATGTAAGCTAAACAGGTAGTAGCTTTTCCTTTTCAATTTAATAAGGACATAGTTAGGGGAGTAAATGGATCACTATCACTATGTGATGTGACTATATCACTAGTTGGAAATCCACAAATGAACTAAAACTAAACAGCTCGTGCAAATATATATGCTACTACTGCTATTTGCTGTTTTGGAAAAAAGCCTAGTGCATTTCCTGGTCACCTTGCATGTCAAATTATCTCCAAAATGAAAAAGAAAAGGGAAGTTGCAGTACTGCAAAATGAGCTAACCATGATTATTCTAATTGATACTTCGTCTCATGACGCAATTATGAACTTTGTAACATTTTCATAAGAGCAACTTTTCTTCGAGGCATTAGAAAGCACTCAGGCAACTTGTTTTCTTTTTCTTTCACTTTTCTCTAAGATTTGAGAAATTTGTGTGAACTCAACTTTTTCTTCTTGCTTTCATATGAGATTTTCAAAACTGTCATCGCTTTCTATAGGAAAAGACGTCCTCAGTTGGTGCACTCTGCATTGGGCAGCCAATTCCTCGAGCAAAACACTTTCTACGCTACAGGAAAGGGCCCATTATATGAAAGCAGCTAGAAAAAAAGTGAGCACAAACGATCCATTATTAAAAAAAAAAAGGAACTAGATACGAAAAAGAATCCATATGCAGGATTCAGATCTTTATACCTAGGAACAGCAAAATCGTACAAAAGTTGTTCCATTAAATTACAAAACAATGTTACGATCAACTTTCATTCACTTTTTCAACTTGAGAAACCTCAAAGCCTTTTCATTGAAGTTACTCTACAAACTTGTTAACATCTTAATTTATGTGAATCACTCAGAAGTCAAAGCTGTTACTTAAAACTGGTTAGAACGTTACGAAATTGACATAGATAAACGTTTTTCAATCTAAAGTTATGTGTGGTCTTAGAAATTTAAAGAAGGTGGGAAAAATTTATAGAAAATTCTAGAAACAAAAAAACTCATGGAAAACAAATTGATAATAATGGCAAGTATGTGTGGCATTCATTAAAGAAAAAAGTTATTTGGAGAAGGATTGTTATTCAAAGGAAAAGCACGATGCCAAAATTGGGAACTTAAGGTTCTAGTGTACATTTAGAACTTATTCTTTAGTTCATGGCGCTAAAACCCTCGTATGAACCTTAAATTGTGAAAATCGTCATTTTGAATTGAAGTTGAGTTACCTTACTGAAACAAATGAAAGTTTAGAGACTCAATTGAGATTTCACCGAAAGTTCAAGGACCACGGATGAGATTTACCCCACCTATATTTTTGCCATTAATTCTTTTCAATCTGTTAAGTCTCAATGAAAATATATTCAACTCCAATTACGTATTAGCACACACATATATATATATAGATACACACACGCGATGAATGAAAATGTTACAAAACAAGTTGCAAACATCCGAAATATTGCTTATAGCTATATATACACTACGAGTATGTTTGAGACACATTCTTTTGAAAGAATGTATTATTGAATAGTAGATTGAAGAAAAATGTGTGGTTAAAAATGAAGGAAAAATTATTGATGTGATGGAAAATATTATTTTATTGAAGAATGTGTGGTTGAAAATGAGTAGAATAATGAAAATAAAAAAAATAATGTGTACCAAACAGAGGCGTAAGACTTATTGGCTGATCCTATAAGCATCCATTGGATATTTCTTGCTGATACAATCTGTAGAGTGGACTGTTTTAGATTGCTTGCAATTGTGTGTGTGTGTGACATTGCACTTTTTAGATGGATGCAGGTTCTAAACTTGTACATATAGCGACCTCAATCCTATTAATACATGATTTATAAAGAAACCCTAAATAATCAATTATGTATTCCTCAGATACACCTTCAACAGGATCAATCTCAAATGTCCAGTCAACTAGAGTTGATTCATGATCGTCGTCGCTATAATCCACGAGCTTTAACGAATTTAAAGATCCATCAAAACCTACGTTGCTTGCTTCCATTCTGTAAATATAACTATGAGATGAGGCATCCATCAAAACTAGCCTTTCCTTTATCCATGATCTATCTCCATCTTTTTGGGGAAACATGAAACCCGATACTAGCCGGATATAGCCTGAAGCACCTTCCTCTCCTGCCAAATCAGTGCATTTTTCAACCATTGGCATCCATTCGGTTAATCTTCTACTTTGAGACACCATGCTCCACACTTGGGCTATTGGTGCATCGACAATGCCTCCCACTGATCCACGCCATTTCCTTTTGCTGTTTCCTATGTCATTTATCTGCACCAGAGAATTGTATATGCCAATTTAGAAACAAAAATTTATGCATGAATTAACTGTAGTAATTTCGAAATGAAAAGGTAATTATCACCGTGTTCATTTCTTCCTTGTTTTCCATCCTTTATTTCAAAACTTCGATCGGCTAATGCCTCCCGCTTACTGTATATCTTCTGAGGTTTAGCTTTGCTTAGGAATGAATGTCCTTTGAAATCCTAATGAAAGAATTCTGTGTTACTAATAAAACATGGACCCGATTGTCTTGTAGTTTTCTAATGCAGCCATATTTTCTTGTAAAAAATATTATGTTACAATGATCAGTTTGGATTACTTTATAGAAAGATAAGGAGTCTGAGTTTACAAGGAGACAACTCCAAGGATGAACTGCCTAGGTAACTACAATATCAAAAAGGGAATCGGTGTATTCTACGTTGAAAGTGAGCACAATACGTGAATTAGCGCCATTCAATGAAAATAGTTTGAATGATATTCTTCATTGATTCTGACCACATTGCTGAAGGAGGGCTTTTGGAGTCATATGGATGCTTTAAGGGTCCATTTGCTAACTCCCAACCCCTATTTCAATTAAAAATAGATCATGTGAAAGAGCATATCTAAAAGGATAATTATTCTCCAACAAGAAATGCTCTACCTGCCATTTCACTTTGTTACACTTGGAAACGTACAAAGTTGAAAGCTGTGAATTTATAAAAATTCCGGAGATCATTTAGTAAAGCTTGGTTTCTGCATTGATTCCTGAATATCAAAAACAAAAGACTTAATCCTTACATGTTCAGGAGATTCAGGACAAAACTCCTCTGTTTTTAATACACGTTCAAGATCTTGAGGTCACAGGAATATCACAACTATTAAGGAGCGACTAAGACGATTTTGTACACACAACCAAAATTACCACCTAATCCAGCATGTCAAGATTCCGAATGTGAAGGCAGTTGTGGACCAACTGTTTGCAACCTTTCTAACCATGCAATCCTCGTGCTTGACTTCTTTAAGTTAAGGAAAATCTCCCTGTATTCCTGCTTCAGGAATATATCTAGAGCAAACAAGTAGAGTTCACCACCTTGTTCAAGTTCTTCAATTGTATCTAGGCATTTGATGCAATCTTCAATACTATAACTGGGCCTCGGTTGTGGAGATTGAATAGTCATAAAGCTCCTTGATTCAACAGCATCATAACGCTCTATGTTGCTATCAGGTATCACACTCACTGGCTCTATTGCATGATAACCCGTGTTCATTGAATCATCTTGGTGCTTTGCAAAATGATTAGGAGCTCCTCTTTCAGTCAAGTAATTATGGTGCTTTTTGGGCCGAGTAGATGGCTGTGTTGTCAAAGTCGAAGAATAATTGTGCCTCCTACGCCTAAGAGGTCTTAATGTTCCTCCAGAACCTGCAGCTACACCAAAAATGATGTCTAATTTGTCAGCAAATAGAAGCTCCTTGAACCGAAATTGAGCAGCATCAGGATTTGCCTGTAATAAGAAACATCACTCCATTACCGAGCCAGTACAAGGGTAGAAACCTCTCATTCTTCTCCAAATCATTAATGTAAGCTATGGTAATGTTATCTGACATATCTGTGTAATGTATCCAGCAGTCAGGAATGTAACATACCTCTAAATACTCGGTCCATTCTTCTTCACTGGCACCAAACCTTCGAGTCTCTGGATTCCATTTCATTGTGACAGTAGAAACCAACTGATGCCAGGTTGTCCAGTGTTTTTTGGTGACGTCTAAATGATTCTTCAGTTGAACCTTATCATACCCCAGACCTGTCATTGTGTGAAATGAATTCAAAATATTCATCCAACCGTCTTTATTGAAACTCGTCCCAGGCCTATTTCCTATTGATATCTGTTCAAGACACAAGTCAATGAACATTTCATGAAGCTCAGGCGTCCAATTAGCTTTAACTTGATTCAGTTTCACCTTCTTCTGATGGCTTCCCATTTTCCAGACGTTTGATACGCATGCAAGAATCTGCACTCATTATCATCTGATCCATCAAATTATGAGTTTCCAAACTCAAATAGTACCATAAATTATCAACAGAGTAATGCCTAACTAAATAGTGATCATCATTTTCAACACTTAGCACCACCAGTACACGCATAATGCAACCATCCCCTTGCCAGGGAATTCCATATAACTTATTCCTTACATCTAAAGCGACATGGTTAGAAAATGAATTTTACATTGGTTAAAGACCTAAAGCCAATTCAGCACATTAGAGAGGTCAAAATTTCTTCAACGAGCCCTAAATATCGAAGCACATTTTATCGTATATAGTCTAAATTTGGGATTTAAAATGTACCCCAAAACTCTAGCGCGAACAGAAGTGGAAGCGGTCTATTGCGCGTTCATGAACCATAATTCAATAAAAAATATAAAGACCCAAAAATCATGTCTTTATCATATATTTCACAATTTCACCAATTCAAGAAATAAAACAGTCATACAGAAAGAAATCAAAATTGCAGTTGAGGCTGATTTAACGATGCAGCAAACTTACGCCCAAATGGAATTCCTCAGCGGGTTAAAAGCGATAGAGATACAGGATTTTCCGCGCACAGCGAGAGAGACTGAGTCACAGAGAAAAGAAAAGAGATCTGGGGAAGACAGTAAATTAACCCTAGAAGTAGAAGCAGGTAAAACATAAAAGGGTAATTAGCNGGTAAAACATAAAAGGGTAATTAGCTAATAACGTACTCACCTTTCACAGTTATGGCAGAAAATATTTTTACCTTTCATATTTGAGTAAATTGTTTCAATAATCACTGAATTTATACCTTGTCATGGACTGCTCACTAAACTTCATTTTGCCTCACAATGCTCACTCAACTTTATCATTTACCCCTCCATCCATCACCCAAAAAAAATCTGTTAGTTGGTCGCTGATGTGGCAGACGGAATTTCTAGCTGGCGGACGGTTTATTACGTGGCAGCTAACAGACCGTCAAATGCCAACATTGCAGGTGCTTTTGAATGAAGATGAAGCTTCTGAAGAAATGCAGAACAATATTTTACTCCGGCCACCAGAGGAAAGAGAAGCAATTCGCATAAAACCAAACGCAAATCTCAGAATTCAACCAATTTTTATAGACCCAAGTCCTAGAAATACTTCCAAGGAGAAGAATTTAACCTTAAAACTTAAAATGAAAAAACAAAACAAAAGCCAATTTATTTGAAATGCAAACAATCCCTTCTTCTAGGGCAATTCCCCTTCGTCTCCGACCACCC